GGGGGGGGGGGGAGGGATGGGGGTGCATGACCTTCCGCCTCCCTCCCGGGCGGACCCCGCAGCACGCGCAGCCATATAGCATGCCGCCACCATGCAGATGGGCGCGTCTCGGCGTTCGTGAACGAGGCATGGGCGTGTATGTGTGTGTGAGTCTGGGTGCGCGGGTGGGCCTGCCGCCGCCCGCGCCGGCCCCCTTGTCCCCCCCACCCCCCCTCCAGGCCCCGGCCACCTGGGGCGCGGCCGGAGAGACGGCGGCCCCCACCCACGGCCGACCTGGCCCCGGCCAAGCGCGGGGACCAGCCGGCGCGCCTCTCGCAGCGGGGCCAGCAGGCGGCGCCCCGAGCGTCGGCAACTGGTGCTGGTCGGCTGACGGAAGGGGGTCATGTGCAGCGGGAGAATCACGCCGACTTCGGTGACTGAGTTAAGCGGCGGTCTCGTTAGCGACTGCGGCAAGTACGAACGCAGCCGGCAAAGACGGCGGGGCCGGCGCGTGCGCGATCTACGACCCCGCTTTCGCCCTCAATCGGCTGCCGCTTTTAGCTACCGGCTGGCGGCCGATCAAAATGGACGGGCGCGCGCGCGAGGGCGCGGGGGCCACAATGCCCGGGCGTGGCCGGGAGATCGGGCCAGGGGGCGCCGGCGCCTGTGTGATCGGCCGGAGTACGAGCTTTTCCCTTTGTTTGTGGCGCGGCATGCCCTCCTTCGTTCGGGACCTGGCCGTGTGTGAGGATGGTGTGTGTGTGTGTGTATGTGTGTGTGTGTGTGTGTGTGTGTGTGTATGTGTGTGTGGCTGGGGGGTGGCACAGATTGGCCAAACATGGGTGGCGCTGGTGGCGAAGTCCGACGGTACGGCGGCGGTGCCGAGGGGCCCATGTGCGGGAGACCGGCTCCCGGCCGGCCGGCTTGTCCGAGCTGGAACAGGCCGCCGGCCGGGAGCCGACCCGTACACTTGAGGGCCATGGGGACCTGGCCGTCAGTCGGCCTGTAAGCCGGGATCCAGTCATGCTCATCGCCCGGCGTGCACGGCCACCCGGCCGCCTCCTGCCCCCAAGGCGACATGGCCGCACACGGGGGATCCGCCTCGCGGGAGGAGGGAGACGCGAGGCGGGGCCGACGGTGTGCTATCGGCCGGCCGGGGCTCATCAGGCGGCGAGCAGTCACCGCGAGGGCCACCGGCCCACAAGCAACATCCCTCCCCTGTCTAACACCGAACCCGTCCCTCCCCTCGCCCCCTGCTCCCCTCTGCCTCTGACCCTCGGCCCTGCGCCCGCGCTCGCGCCTCCTCCTCCTCCTCCTTCTGCCCTGCCCCGCCGCCCTCGCGCCCGCGCGCGGACTCCCACGCCCCATGAACGGCGCGGCCCTACCCGTGGCCCGGCGCCTTGCGAGCCTGGCGCTCGCCGGGCTGGCGGTCTCGAGCCGCCTGGCAAGCGCCCTGGCCCCGGCAACGCGGCCCGACGCGGCGATCGGCCCCGCGGCCGCTGCCGCCATCTGGAACACCGACGTGACCGTGCCCGGGCACGAGGGCCTGGCCTCGATGTCCCTGCCCTCGGCCCTGTCGGTGTACATTCCCAACAGTACGTGCGATGTGGTGATCGGCCGAGCGCCAAGCCCGGGCCGGGGGGCAGCTGCCGGGGAATGGGCGCTGGGCGCTGGGCGCCTTTGCTGACCTGTGCCGATGTTCCACACGCCCGGGCCGCCAGTTGAGAACTGCCTGACCCTGCGCCACGAGCTCCGGAGCAACGAATGCTACCAGCTGCAGCAGACGTGCGACGAGTGCAGCGCATCCTGCCCGTCCGGCTCGACGGCGGTCGTGTCGAACTCCTGCCCCTCGAAGCCGGGCTGCTCCTCGCGCACGTGCATGTACCAGTGCTACTATGTGTTCACCTGGTGCGAGGAGTGCGACGTGGGGCACTTCCTCGGGGACGACCAGCAGGAGTGCATGTGTACGTGTCCCGCCTCGCGGCCGCGGGCCCGCCGCTTTGCCGATCGCCCGCTTCGCCCCGTGCGCGTGTGTGCCGCGCCACGGCCCGACATGTGGCCTGACATCCCGGCGCCGGTCCACCAGTGGGGCCCCCCTGCGAAAATGGCAAGATGTGCTCGATGAATGCGGTGTGCGATCGCCCCGGCGGGGCCACCACCGGCCCGGGCACCTGCCGGTGCAAGCCCGGCTTCTTTGGATTCCCCATCTGGTCAGACAGCAGCCCCGGCTGCGAGTGTGCGTGCCAAGCGGCTGGCGCTTGCATGGGGGCGCGGTCCGGCCACCCGGCGCACGGGCTTCTTGGGACTGACAGCTCTTGGTGTAGCCGTCTGCGGGGATGGCGTCCTGGCCAGCGATGAGGAGTGCGACGACGGGAACACCCTGGACGGGGACTGCTGCTCGGCGAAGTGCAAGCTCGAGCCGGCGGTGCGTGGGGCAGTTGCTTTCTTGCCGCGGCCGCGGGCCAACATCCAAGGCATCCGAGCCCCCGGCCGGGGGGGGGGGGGGAATTGGCAAGGAAGAGTTGCTGACCGCATGGCCTGGGGCGGGGATGCGCCCGCTGCGCGCCGCGCACGCCGCCACAGCGCTCGCCCTGTGCCGTGTGGCAGGGCGACGGGGACATGTGCACGGACGACATGTGCGATGGCCAGGGCAATTGCACCCTCTTCGAGGACAACCACCGGTGCGAGTGTGGCAACGGCCTGCTGGAGACCGACGAGCAGTGTGACCATGGCACGCGGAACAGCGACAACTCCGCCGACTGGCTCTGCCCCTATGGGGCGCTGCAGTGCGAGGCGTGCACCATGGATTGCAAGTTGAAGCCGGGGCACACGCAGTACTGCGGCGATGGCCAGGTGCGCACGGGGGGCCGGCCTCGGGGTGTGGACCTGCGTCGGCTTGTCGGCATTTCCGGCGACCTTCGAGCCCTTGCCAGCGTGACTGACAAGCCAGCGCCTGCTTGTGTGTGTGTGTGTCTTTTCGCGTCTTCGTGCCTTCGTGTGCGCATGCATGTGCTCGCGTGCATGCATCTGCACATGTGTATATCTGCCTACATGCATATGTGCGTGTGCCTGCACGTGTGTGTGCGTCCATGCGCGCGCGCCCGGCCGCCGACCCGCCCGCGCCCCGTGCCACAGCTCCAGGGCACCTTTGGCGAGCGCTGCGACGATGGCAACACCACTGCCGGGGACGGCTGCTCGGCCGAGTGCCTGGTCGAGCCGGGCTTCGACTGCTCGCGCCTGGCCGGCGGCCCCTGCAAGGTACGTGCCCGGCCTGCCCGCTGATCTGAACCCCGGCCTGGCGCCCGGGCCGGCGGCTTCCTCGGGGGGAGCACCAGCCAGGCGATCGTTTTACTGACCAGGGGCCTGTTTGTCCGGGTCTTTTTTTTTTTTTTCCCGCCCGCGTCCCCCCGCCCTACAGCGCATCACCGCGGCCGACGCCGAGTCGGTGGCCTCAGCCAGCCCGGCCAGCTGGGCCATCGACCAGCCGGCGGTGGTCCTCACCCTCGCCGGGCCGGTGCACATCCCGCTGGACAGCGGGGCCGCGTCGGGGACCGGGGCCGGGCTGGCGCCGCCGGCCCCGGCCACCAGCACCGACCCCCAGGACCGGGTGCTGGTGAGCCTGGCCCCGGCCGGCCGCGCATGCGCCGAGGGGGCCCGGCTGCGGGTCCAGCGCCTGGCCGGCACCCCGGGCAGCGGGGACTACAACCGGCCGGCGGTGGCCGTGCCGGCCTCGGCCTTCCAGCTGGTCGGCCAGTACCGGCTATGCTACACCACCGACGCCGGGGCCACTTGGCACGCGCAGCCGGCCGTCCAGCTGCACGTCCAGCCCCCGGCGGCCATCCCCTCGGCCGACCACCTGACGGCCATCTACCCGACGGTCTTCTTCATCCAGCCCACCACCGCCGACGGGGCGGCCAGCACATCCGGCCCGGGCACCACCCTCGGCCTGCTGTCCCTCACGGGCGACCACCTGAGCCCCGAGTACACCCGGGTGCGCTTTGTCCGCGACCCGTCGCACTGCGCCGAGGCCGGGTCCCAGTCGAATGGGGCCAGCGCGTCGAGCGGCCCCGCCGGCGGCGGCTCCGGGCCGGTCGGCGGCTCGAGCTCGAGCGCGTCCGGGCCCTCGTCGGCCGGCGCCGGCCTGGCCACGCTGGGCAGCCCCCCCGACGGGGTGTACGCCCTGGCCGATGGCCATGTCCAGCTCCAGCTCCGGCACTTTGCCGCCGGCGGGGTGTACCATGTGTGCCTGTCCAATGACCTGGGCCAGCACTTTGTCCTCCAGCGCCAGGTCCAATTGGAGATCATCCGTGCGTGAATTGGCATGCCCGGCGGGGCGCACGAGGCGCGCACGCGCCCAGGGCCAGGGGGGGAGGGGCGAGGGGGGAACCGATGGGGCCGCCGAGACGTGCCCCTGGCGGCCGCCGCTTCGGAATACTGACCCTGCGGCCCTTTGTCCCGGCATCTGCCGGGCCTTTCGGGCCTGCCTCGCCCCCGACAGCCCGGGTCACCAGCAATGAGGTCATTCGGTCGGTGACCCCGGCCAAGGTCCGGTCCTCGGAGTCGGTGCCCGTCACCGTGGCCGGGCTGCTGCCCTCCCACCGGACGTACGTGGTGGCGGCGGCCGGTCGCCAGGGCGGGCCGCCCGGCAGCCCCAACGCCCCGTCGCCCATTTGCAGCGAGGCGGACTTCGCCAGCGCGCCGGTGCTTTTCGACGCCGGGGCCCTGCTGCCGGCCGCCCAGGCCGGGGATGACAGCCGGATCGCCATGCCGCCCATCCAGGCATGCGGCGCGGTGCACCTCTGCGTGTCGACCGACTACGACCCCACGTCGCCGGCCGGCCAGGCCGCCACCTGGTACCGCCAGACCCGGGCCATGATCACGGTCACCGGTGCGTCGAGGCCCTTGCCCCACCGGCAGGAGGGAGGGCCCCGCAGGGCGAGACACCCGAGCCCGGCCCGGCGGCCACCGCCTCCCTTGCTGCTACCCCATCCCTGCACGCGATGCTGACTCACCTGCCATGGCCCGGCGGGCGCGCCCGTACACACATACCTCCCTTCCCCGGCCCGCCCGCCCGCCCGCCCGCCGGCGCAGTGCCCCTCGTCGAGGGGGTTGTCTCGAGCATCAGCCCCATGCGCGTGGAGTTCCCCCGGCCGACGGCCGGCAAGCGCGCCCAGCAGCAGCCCCTTGCCGAGGCCCCGGGGCGCACCTTCAACACGACCTTCCACCTGGTGGGCGCCCTGCCGTGCGAGGAGTTCCGCGTCGGGCTCTTCCGCGTGGAGGCCCCGCCGGCCGTCGGCGCGGCGGCCGCACCGCCCGGGCCGGTCCTCTGCCAGGACCACCTGCTGGTGGCCAGCAACAGCACGACGCGCATCGGGTCCGGGCCGCATGCGGCCGCTTCGGGCGTGGCGCAGGTGACCTTCGCCGGGCTGGCCCCGGCCACCGGGGCCGACCCCGACACCGGCAGTCTGGCCGGCCGCCTGGTCGAGGGGGCGCACATGCTCTGCCTGAGCACCGATGCCGGGCTGACATGGCTGGCCCAGGCAAATGCCCCGGGCCCGGGGGCCGGCAGCGCCAGCGCCAGCGCCAGCGCCAGCGCCAGTGCCCCGAATGCCGGGGCCCAGCTGCTGGTGCACTTTGTGGCGGTGGCCGGCGCCTCGTCCGGGCCGCGGTCGGCCGCGGAGATCCTCGCCTCGCCACTGGTCATCGGGGCCATCTCGGCCGTGTGCGGGCTGGTCTTGCTGGTGGTGGTGGTCGTGGCCCTGAGCATGGTCCAGCGCCGGCGCATGAAGCTGGCCCTGGAGTCCGCCCGCTTGGAGATCGACATGCTGCACGACCGGCCCGAGCCCATGGGCGACGGGTATATCGTCGGTGCCAAGGAGGCCGATGTGCGTGACACATCCCGGCGAAGGCCCAACGCCCGCCGGGGTCTCTTTTTGCGTCCCCCCCCCCCTTCCTCCGCCCGGGCCGCGCCGCGGCTTTCCCGGCCCCCTGCCCCTTCTCCAGGTCTTTGCCCCCGCCGCCAGTGCCACTGACACCGCCGGGCCACCGGGCCCGCCCCGGCCCCCCCGCACAGCCCCTCGCCGTCTTCGGCATCACGGCCATCTACTCCGGCACGAGGTCCCTGGAGCCGGAGTACTACGACGGCATGGGCGCCTCGGAGGCCGCCGACCCCGAGGCCGGCCCCCCGGCCAAGGGGGCCCCGCCCGCGCCCCCGGCCCCCGGCAAGGACCAGGACATCGGCGACCTGACCGACGTCGACCCGGCCAAGTACTTCGGCCCGACGGCCGGCGCCGGCGGGACGGCCAGCACCGCCGGCGACACCGACTCGCCGCACGGGTCCTCCGTGCTGGGGACCGACCACTCGCCGGACTCGCTGGACCTCGACGCGGACTTCTGATCCCCCCCCCCCTCCCCCCCCCCTGGCCGCAGGGCCAATAGAACATACAAGTGCATGCTATGGGGGAGACCAACGCCCCAGGGCAGGGGGGTGCTTTTTCTTCTCTGGCCTGCCCCTCCCCCGAGGGGGGAATGGCGGGGTTTATTCGCCCACCGTGGCGACACCGGCCAGCGCCGGTCGCACGGTGTCCAGTGCACCCAGGAAGTCCGCCATGCCGACCGTGATGGCTGCCTCGCCCTCCGGCAGGGGCGCATCCACCCCGGCGGCCAGGAGGTGCCGCCGCAGGGCCGAATATGCGGCCTCCCGCACGACGGCCTCCAGCTCGGCACCGGTATACCGGTCCGTCTGTGGAGGGGCGAGAGTGGCGAGTGGGCGGCAAAATGTCAGGCCGGTGGCAGGGGGCAAGTAGAAAGAGAGGAAGGACAAAAGGGGGGGGGGGGGCAGAGGCGGGGAGCCCGGCCCCGCCCCAGTTCGGCCACCTGTCGGAGGGACACATCCTCGGCCAGCCCGGTCCGCCGCGCATGCACTCGGAGGATTTCCTCCCGCGCGTCGGCCGTGTCCGGCGGCGGGACCAAGATCTGCAGGTCGAACCGGCCAGGGCGCAGGAGCGCCGGATCCAGCATGTCTGGTCGGTTGGTGGCAGCCTGCGCCAGGCCACCGGGACAGGGGAGATGCAGGGACAGCCGTCAGGGACGCGAGCCCGAAACCGGATAGGAGGGGGGACCATACTCCCGAGGGAGGGGGCCCCTTCGACGAAACAGGGCCCATGTATCGTCGGGAGCATAAAACACACAAATGCACAAATGCACACGAATGCACACAAATACACACAAATGCACACGAATGCACACAAATGCACACGAATGCACACAAATGCACACGAATGCACACAAATGCACACAAATGCACACGAATGCACACAAATGCACACAAATGCACACAAATGCACACACACACACACACACATGCACACATGCACACATGCACACGCACCAGGAGCAAGACCCCGGTCGCGGGATCCACACCGTCCATCTCATTGAGCAACGTGGCTAGCACACGGTCCGAGACGCCCCCGCCCTCGGACCCGCCAGCGCCACCCTCCAGGTCCCGGCGCCCGACCAGCGCATCAATCTCGTCGATGAAGATCACCGATGGCGGGGCCAGGCGCGCCTTGGCAAAGGTATCGCGGACTGCAGCGCGCGGGCATCCCCAGGGGACATGTGCACATGGGTGCGGCCGCGGCCGTGGGCGCACATGCGAATGCAAACACATGCCCGGGGAGGAGGCGCACGTGCGAGCCGAGGCGCGATGGTCGAGGCACACGCACCCGGCGTGGGTCCAGATGTGGGGGGTGTAAGTGGCCGAGAAGGGGAGGGGGCACACATGCGACAGCGCGGGCACCGGCGGAGGAGGCACGCACCGACACGCTCGGCCTCGCCGACGTACGGCGAGTAGATGGCCGCCGCACCGCTGAGCGAAATGAACGAGGACCCGGTCGAGTGGGCGATGCACCGGGCCATGGTGGTCTTCGAGCAGCCAGGCGGGCCATACAGCAGGACGCCCCGCGGTGGGGTCAGGCCGAGCCGCAGGAACGCCTGCCGGTGGAGGACCGGCCACTCGATCGACTGGCGGAGCTTCTGCGCACCCGAGCGGCCCAGGCGCAGGGGCGAGGGAAAGGAGCCCATGGGGGGCCGCAGGAGAAGGACACAAGACGTCAGAGACGAAGGGGCGGGAGGCGGGGAAGGGCCGCAGGGGCGACAATGGCAGGCCGCCGCCCGACGTACATGCTTCACGCTGTCCAGGCCGCCGATGTCGGCCCAGGTGATCGGCGCTCCGAGCTCCACCCCGGCCGCCATGTCGCGGATGAGCGACGGCTGCACCTCGCCCGACCGGAGGGCCGCCCAGAGGTCCGCCGGCTCGAGGGTCAGGAGGCCGCTGGGCCCCGGCTCCCCGGCGCCAAGCCGGTCCAGCGCACGCAAGGCCGCCGCCCGGACCAGCGCCGCCAAATCCGCCGCCACGAAGCCAATGCACCGGGTGGCCAGCTCCGCCAGGAAGCCCCCCTCCAGGACGGCCGGGCCGCCGGGTGGAGGCGCGGCCCCATGGCCGAGCGTGGCCCCGACCAGGGCCCGGAGGAGGCGCGCCCGGGCCCGCGCATCCGGCGGCGCGATGCCCACCTCGCGGTCAAAGCGCCCGGGCCGGCGAAGGGCCGGGTCCACGGCATCCGGCCGGTTGGTGGCCGCCACGACGACAACCTCCCCACGAAGGCACCCCCCCGGGCCGCCGACCCGGGCCGCGTCGCTGCGCGCGTGGAACCCATCCATCAAGGTCAGCAATTGGGCGATGACACGCGTGGTGGTGCCGGAGGCAGAGCCACTGCCGTCAAGTGACCGCGCCGGGCAGAGGGCGTCCTACACGAAGAAACCCGGGAGGCAGGGGCAGGCGGAGAGGGAGGGGGGGGGGAGAACGTCAGAAGGAGCAAGCGGCGCCGACAGTCGGTCGAGGAGCGAGGCAAAAGCCCACCCGGGGCCGGGAGGGGGGGGGGGGGCCTGTGAGCGCACAATCTCATCGATGAAAATGATGCACGGCGAGCCGGACTCGGCGGCAAAGCGCCGGGCCCGGTCGAAGCACTCGCGCAGCCGGCGCTCACTCTCGCCGGTGACCGACGACAGGACGGCGCTCGGGTCCACCGGCAGCAGCAGCGCCCCCAGGGCCAGGGCCACCCCCCGGACGAGGTGCGTCTTGCCGACGCCGGGCGGCCCGTGCAGCAGGACACCACGGACCCCCTGCAGGCCGAGCGCGGCAAAATGCTCGGCATGGTTGAGCGGCGCCGCCAGCAATGCCAGCAGCTGCTGGTAGTGCGGGTCGGTGGTGAGGTGCCCGGTGGCCAGGCTGCCCGCCGGGTCGGCCGCCGGGGAGCCCGCATCCCCGCCACACCCGGCACACGGCCCGGATCCACCGGGACCGGGGCACAGCGCCTGGCCGCGGGCCAGCAGCCGGACCTGGCCCGGGCCGGGGAAAAGCCGGCCAAAGCGCCCGACCGCCAGCCGAAAGGAGGGAGCCTGCGTGTCGATGTACACACTGCCGGCCGGGACGGCCTCGTGGAAGCTCACCCGGTACATTTGCCCGGCGCCGACTGGCGTGCTGGCCAGCAGCCCGGGGCCCCGCAGCGAGGGACACGCCTCCAGGCCAACCCCCCGGCCCAGGACCCGGCCATCCGTCAGCACCACGCTCACCTCGAGCGGGCCGCCCTGGCAAGGCGCACCCGGCCGGCTGCCGGTGCCACCACCACCACCACCACCACCGCCGCCGGCAGCGCCAAACACGGCCCCGGCATCGGCGGCGCTCATGTACACCGGCAAGCCAAAGTGAGCGGCGCGGGTGGCTTCGGCCGCGCGGCGGATGGCCGCGTCTGCCTCGCTGGCCCCCGTGCCCGAGACCCCCGGGGGCAGGTGCAGCCCTGCCAGCAGCCCGTGAGGGTCACTGGCCGGGGTCAGCAGTCGAAAGGTACCCGACATGTGTGGTTCGCGCCTGGTGGCAAAGGGAGAGAGAGGGAGAGAGCGAGAGGGAGGGGGGGGAGGCGAGGGAAAGCAAGCAGAGGCCCATGCGCAGGGAAACAAGCGAGGGAGGAGACTGTCTGTCCCTCCCGACATCGGCACGCCCCCGTTCGCACGCCCCCGATGAATCCCCAGCCGCTCCCGTGAGGGATGGCCAGTCGGCCTATGTGTCCGCCCAGCGGCACACGCGCGACACAGGGGCAAGGGGGGGGTGGGGGGGGGGACACACGCACACGGCGGGACGATCTCGGACTCCCCCACAGGGCCGGGGATCGCGCATGGGCGGGCACACATCGTTCGTTGGCAGTCGATATATTCACCGATCTCGGGCAGGGCGACACAGGTACAAGAATACAGGCTCCTGCCCAACGGCAGGGGCG